TTGCCTGGACAAAAGGAGGCCCAGGAGGACCTTATCACTCTCAACAACTACCTGAAAGGAGATTGTAGCCAAGATGGGGGTCAGTCTCTTCTCCCAAGTAACAAGGGACAGGGCAAATTTCAAATGGCTTTGAGTTGTGCCAGGGGTGGTTTAGATTGGGTGTTATGAAACATTTCTTCACATAAAGTGTTGTCAAGCATTGGAACAGCCTACCCAGGGAAGTGGTTGAGTCACCACCCCTGGAGGTAATTAAAAAATGTGTAGATGTGGCAGTTAGGGACATGGTTTAGTGGCGGAATTGGCAGTGCCACACTAATGGCTGGACTGAATCTTACAAGTATTTTCTAACCTAAAAATGACATAATGACAACGATGCTATGATTCCATAATAGGTCAAAAAGAAATGTGATTTTAAATCAAATTTTGTAGATTCTGCTACTATATTTTCATAAATAACTTGCATAACATTATTGATTCTAAACTAACTCAGTTAACTCTGTGTATTCCAGTGCTTTCCAGAAATTGCACAGCTCTTAGTAATGTATGTTTCATGTGGAAGCACAGCAGCCTTGGACTTGTTATTCTGACAGGATTATAAGTAGCTATAGGGTTTCTTCAAGGGACCATCTCCCTTGGACCATCTCAGTTTTGGGCATCTGAGTTACTGCCAATGCAACAAAAGGCTTGAAGTGACTTAAATGACCACTGACCACACCTGAAATCCCAGAAGAGTACTACAGAACACAAAGGCAATGACATTTAAAATATCTTCACTTTTTAATGGTTTTGCTTTCTGTACCAAACTTTTTCCACTTGTTTCTCTAGCTCCTGAAGCATGACATCGTTTTTCTTATGTAAAAAAATCCCCAACACTCCAAATGAAATTAAAGATTATAAAAATACAACTTTTAATCATTAAACTAAACCCAAAGAATTCAAATTCTTGTATTTCAAATCCTCAGAAATTGTTTACAAAGAGCTTTTGAACACAGAGAATCAACATCAATTATATATAACTTGGTTCAAAAAATATCCACAGAAGGTGCCATGTTCCCAAGGTTCTTGCTACCTTTTTTCTCTTCTATATGTAAAAGAAGAAAAGGACATTTATCTGACAATTAAAATAATCTTTTTACTGTATGAAGATATACCCAACCATAAAAACATTGCAAATAAAGAAATCCATTCTTCATTTTCATTATGAAACAAAAAACACAGAAAAAAACTCCAGGAAAATTAAATTGCAAACATAAATCTTGAAAAACACATAACTGGCATTATGACTGCAGGTGCTGCTCAGCTCATATCGATTTGTACCATACTGAACACCATGACATCATTTTTTTTCTTCTCAATCTTTCCAGTTTTTTCCCCCATTATGAGCTTCCATTTTTTCCAAATTGAATATGTTTCAACCCTGCTCCCATTAACCCAGATGCAATTTTGATTGTTATTTCTTTTCCATCAGCTGGCTGTTAAATGAATATTAATTTTAATGTGTCAGAAGCAGGGAAGGGAGGCAGCTCACCCCTGGGCATCTGACAGCAAACCCTTAACCCCTGCTAAAAGCTTCGAGTGCTCTTAGCTTGGACACAGAGCTCAGCACCTTCCTAACCCAGGCTTTTATGCTGGAAGCAAAAGTGTCTACCCATAAGAAGTGGCTATTTCTGAGGTTACCTAGACTACAAGAGCACTCTGAAATCACTGAACAACATGCAGAAGTGAGCCAGTCATACAGCTTAGCAGTGGCTGAACATCTTTGGCATAGTATCTTGAGCTTTACAGCATTACTTAAATTAAAACACAGATTTAAAATGGAAAAAAAAATCACTAGCTAATAGGCTTTTACTAGGTGAGAGTCATACTTATTAGCACAACTGACCTTACTCAAAGTCAATTAGAGCACCCGCAGAACAGGGGACACCTAAGCCTGCACAACCAACTACTGAAGAATATACTGATGCAAAAAGGTTTATTTTAACAACAGATTTAATTGTTACAGTCAAAAGCTGCTCTCTATGGCACAGCTAATAAATATGATACAGCTGAGGTGTTCAGATGCAGTTGCTTAAGCTGGACATCCAAACCCTAGTGCTGTATCTACGCTGCACAGATTTGTTAGCCTTACTCCCTGATAGTCTCCTGTTCCACAACAGTAATTTTTACCAGCAAAGTCTTATCCTTTCAATAGCATAAAACATATAATTCTTGGGGGCATTTTGTTTATCTCTCTGCTGGCACATGGAATGATTTAAGGGGCTCCAAGGCACAAACCATCTCACAGACATCTTGAAAAGGAGGGGAGGTGCTGAATATGAAAGCTGAGGTTTATTTGTATAGCTACTCAATGCCTCTAGAAAGCAGGGTTCCTTGTGTTCAGGTGTCCAGAGGGATGAACATACCAATACAGTTATCCAGATGTGCAAAGTCTCACCCACTGAATGTTTTAGCAAACACACCAAAAAAAAACCCTCCTGATAATTGTTGCATTATCTGGTTTGACATTTTAATCCTGTGCACTTAGGAGCAGGCCAGATTTTAAGTCTCCATAACACGCTATAGGATCACTGAGGCTGCAAGTGGTAACCTCACTTACACACACCACCTGCTTCTATGTATACATCACACTGGGGCTCTAAGGGACAGGTCATTTATGGTGTCTCACAAGATATCTAGCACAGCCAGCCTGGCCCACAATGAGCAGTGCAAAGGCATGATAATACATGAAAGCAATTTACAGGAACATAAATAGTCTACAGTATCCTGTAGAAACTAAATCAACCTGAGAGGCAACCATTGCTCGTATGTCATGAAGCATCTCAGTTTAGGCATTACCTATTTTGCCACTGAAGTTCCCAACTCCAGCACCACCAGAGATGCCACAGAGATTATGACACTTTTAAAAAAATAAAAAAGATATAAAGCTGTAGAAGTGAAAAGAAAGCTGGAGGAAAGCAATACCTAAATTAAAGGTGTGACATGCTGGCAGTTAATTGCCACTATGGTGACAGGAATGCAAAGAGCTGATGGTTCAGAAAGAAAGGTACAAGAGGGCAGTAACAGTGGTAAGTGCAGCATCCACTATACACAGCGCCCTAACGCCTGGATTCATCTCCTTCAGCAGAAAAGGAGCCCAGGAAATCTTCTCCTACAGCTCATATAAGGTTAATTACACAAATAACCCCCGGAGGAATCCCCCACATGCCCTGTGAAACAGGTGCTGTGCAAACCCAGTGAGCCACCACTGGGATGGGAGACACACCTGGGAGCCCAGAGGGGTTCCCGCCTTCTCCTCTCCACCCAAAGGGCTTTGTGGCAGAGAGCTCCAAGGTATTCCACCCTTTCTTCCTGAGGTGTATTGCCTCACATTGAAACAAACCTTTCATTTGTCATTTCTTGTGACAAAGGAAAACCATAAATTAACTCTAGAGGATCAGGGAGAAAGAAAAGCATGTGTTTCACTATAAACTGTTGCACTAATAACATTATTAAGTATAAGACACATGTGTACAGGGAATTGCTCTGAGAGAACTAAACCATCCAGCTTTGTGGCTCTTTCAATGCACAATTACAGCAGAAGATATGTGGAATATGGGACAGCAATAATAAAGGAGAGTATAGAAAGGGAATGGGCAGCACTAGTCCCAGACCACACTGATTACAGGTAAAACGTGCTGCTGTGCTGCACTTCTGTGCTACAGGGACATTCTGCTTCAACTCAGTGCTTAGGGAACAAAAGATGGACACAGGGAGCTCGCTGACTGTCCTGAGAAAGATCACAGGAAAATGATTTGACACACACAAAATTCTCTTTGAATACTCCAGTTCCCAGGAAGACCTCGTATCAGTAGAAATGATGCTTTCCTCCTCCCCACTGTGGTTTTCCTTAAAAAAATATTTCTTAGAAATACCTCCAAATGGAAGAGACACTTGGACAGTTCACTGCTACCTTCAGACAGCTTCACTCTACCTTCAGGCAGAGCCTGACACCCCTTCAGATGTGGACTTTAGGAAGCAAACAAGACAAAATAGCCATTGCACTAATGAAACAGAGCAACAGCACAAAGACTAGATTTGGCTTCCACCAATCACCTCCAGATGAAGTCAGCATCTGGCAGCAACCGTGTGGAAAGGCTTCCCTGGCCTCTTAATGGTGGGTGATGTTTTTCAGCAGAATCTCAAACTTGGATCCAAATCATTCTCGAAAAAAAGCCAACTACACTTGGGTATCCACATGCATAGAAGAAATTATCCTGGAAAAGGCAATGGATGTTCAGTGAGTGTGATTCTTTCTGAAGCACGGCACTGTTTGTCAGTTTAAAAACCTAATTCACCTGGATTCATCGTGATGATTTGTGGCTTTGGGTGGCTTATAGCTGTTACATACTTCTCAGTAGATTAAGCATGAATACATTGAACACCAACATCCACAATCATGCCTCGAGCCGGAATCCAGAACTAAGCTGCAATTTAAACAATTTGTTCATGCAAACAGAGGAGTATTTCCATGAACGCCAAGCTGGATTCTGTATGCGAAGACAACAACTAAAAAAAAAAAAAAAAAACACCACCAAAACGAAAAAAGACCGGTACGGAAGGGGGGAAAAGAACCGAAAAATCGAATCTCCGATTTCCATTTACAGCCTGTCCTCGGATGACAGAGCGATGATGCCTCTCCCCGTCCCCATCCCGAGGCCGAGGCCGCTGGCACCGCAGCGGAGGCGCGGCCGGGCCCCGCCGCTGGGCGCTAACAGGTGCTGCGCCCCGAGCCGCGCACGGCAACTTCTCCTCGGCAGCACTTCTAGCTCCAGCCAGCTTATTTTTCTCCCTCCTTTCCCCTCCTCGCCCCTTCCCCAAGGCTCGTCGCCGCTCGGGTTTACCCCCGTACCGACGCAACTTTGGAGCGGAGAGGAAGGGGGCAGAAAGGAGAGGAGAGGATGCGCGCCCACGGTTCGCTCCCGTCCCGTCCCGCCCGGTCCCGTCCCGCCATCGCGCACCACCTGCGCGGCCATGAAGGAGAGGTCCATGGTGCTGCCGCTGGAGCTGCTGGCGGAGCTGGCGGAGGTGCTGAGGCTGCCGCTGCCGCTGCCGCTGCTGCCGGGGGCGGGCGGGGCGCGGGGGCGCGGCACCGGCGCCGCCTCCCCCAGCAGCGGCGGGCGCGGCCGCGGCAGCGGGGCCGGCACCGGTACCAGTTCCAGCTCCGGCAGCTCCCGGCACAGCCCAGCCCGGCCCGGTCCGGCCCGGCCCGGCGCGGCTCCGCGAACGGCCCCGGCAGGGGGCGGTGGCGGCGGCGACCCGGCCCCTTCGCTGGGCTGGGCTGGGCCCGCCCCGCGGCGGGGGGAGCCCGCGGGCGGCACCGCCTTCCCCGCCCCGCCCGCAGCACCTGTGGGGCGGCATCGTCTCGACATCATCGGAGCGGCACCTCATACCCGCCCGGTCGGCACGTCCCCAGGGCGCTGCAGCCGCTCGGGACCCCCGCGTCGGGGCAGCTTGAGCTGAGACAAAGCCTCTCGGTCTCCGGAGACGAACAGGGGCTGGAGCGCACACGGAATAACTCCCCAGCCCCGGCCTCGCTTGTGGCATCCCGCCGGGAGCGGGCAGTCTGGGTGCGCGGGCACAGGGAGGTGATAGCGGCACCGGAGAATCCCCAGGCTGGTCCTGCCGGTCGGAGCCGGTGCTGGGGAGCGAAGTGATGCCCCCATCGAGGGGCAGGGGCGGCTCAGCTCAGCTCCACTCTCGCGGCATGTGCAGGTCCTCCGCATCACACAAATCTCCCAAATCCATACTTGGCTGCCACACACCTGATTTCTTGCCCATCTTGCCAATCCATAAGCCTGGTTTTAAAATACTCGGCCAACTCCACCACTCACCATGGCTGAAAAGAGCTCCCAGCATCTCATTCTTACACCTTTTCATAGCTAAGGTGCTGGAACTTTATTTTCACTTTCTCTCTTGTTCCCAGAATTTACCATTCAACAATTCACAATAAACATATTTTGTCCCTTTTCTTATCCTTCCCCCCGCGTCTCAGAGATGGTGTTATCACTTTGCATGAAAATTCAGTGGATTCACCAACTGGTTGATTCTGAAAAACTTTTGACACCAATCTAAAAAGTAGGATAAGAAAAACGTGTGTTCTATATGTTGAAAGCTTTTTTTGCCTGTGATTTTTATCACCCTTCTTACATGTACTTGTTGGCTTCATCTCCAAGGCTGAAATCTTTGACCATGTTTTTATGGCTTCAGCATATTGTGGGAGTCTGAACCAGGAGTATATGCCAACAGCAAAAGTACCTGGAGGATAAGCTTTGCACTGGGTTTTGAGGGATTTTAAACTCTGGAGGAAAAAATAGACTCTACTTCATCCTATGTACTGTGAACTCCATGCTATTTCGCCAGTATACTGTTGCAGCAGGAGGTGGTGAAAAGAAAATCAGCTGTTTTAAATCAGTCCTTTACTTCAGTGACTAGAAAGTGTCTGCCAAAAATGCTTTTATGTCAAGAGGCCCATTAAGTAAACAAGTAAAATCCCAAAGAGGCAATGCCATTTTAAGATTTTTTAATTCAGTTGCGTAAATAATGAAATTGTCTCTTTGTAGAGTCCCTCACAAGTTTTGAAAGGGTATTGATGTGTGTGTTTCAGAAGCCATAAATTAACTTCAAAGCAGCGTTAATCTTTTATCATCCAGATAAATTTTAAATGCACTGGGTAAACATCTCTACATAGTGAATGTAGCCTGGTCAGTCACTGCATCTGGAACAACAGCTACAGTAATAACAGAATAACAAAATACTTAAAGTTTCAAAACCACAGTGACTTTTGTACTTGTTTAATTCTATGAAGCATGAGAACTGTAGAGAAAGAGCTGGAAAGGACCTCAGGAAATAATCTAGTCCATGCATCTGCTTAAAAAAAACAGTGACCCTCCAAACAGGGGGTTTATCTTTACCCAAAGTCTTCTTTAAAGTGTCCAGTGAGGAATCTTTCATTTCTCATTATATTTCTCATATATTCCACTGGCCATTTTGTAAGTCTCTGTCTACCAGGCATATGAAGAAATTCTTGTTGTACTGAGTGATGGCACATCATCACTTTGGCTTTCTTGGCATCAAATTTTATTAATTTTGCCTTTCCACTGAGAAATAGAGCAGCATTTTTCGTGGTCAATTTATGTGATTCTGGAAAAAAATCTTTTTGTCCTTGGTATCTCAAAAATTGCTTTTCTCATATTTGTATCATGTAATTGCTCCCTTCAGGAATACCCTGCAGACCAATTATTGGGGAAAAATAAATGTGAACTGCTCAAGTTTCAAATTCTTTATTTCCATACTGACCACTGGAACAAATCTCTCTCTGTAAAAAAATTGATTTAGCAGAAGCATTGTTCGATACAGGGGACAATGAGCTTGGCTACTTTCTGTTTCTATGACAAAAATATATAACTTTGTTCCATCTTTGTTTATGAGGTTTCAGTAATATGAAAAATTGCTGCCTGATGTCTATGTATATAAGTTCCTACTAGTCTAGAGAAGAGGTGTTCACTACGTACAGTGACAGTGGAAAATAGTAGTCCTCATTAAATTTTGAAGATGCTGTGAATTTATCAGTAATGTAGAAAACTACTATATTTGCTAAGCACTCTGCAAGTTTCATTTAAGGTGTAGATGGTAAGGGAATAATGGAAGAACTATTGCATATGCCAGCTGTCCTGCTTGTGTGATGTAAATATGACCATCCATAGATTCCCTTAGATGCCACTAAATATGGCTTCCTATTCTTGATCTCAGTTAGGAATTTGGCTGAGTTATCTTGGAGGATAGTGCCAATCAAAACCAGTCCCTGTAGAAATACTTGTAAAGAAATTGCCCCTTTACCTGGCAGAGGTTTTTAACACGCTTCCCTACTTGGAGGAGTGGTAGGTTCATTGGAACAGCATTTCTATTTGCAAAAGCCATCCAAACCATTATCAAATTTTGTTCTAGAAAATTATTATCAACCATCACAATGTCCTCAATCTCCAAGCTATTAATTTATCATTCATATTTCTTAAACTTGACAAAGGGAAAAAAATCACTCTTCATATTTCACTTTTACTTTTCCTCTGGTTCACTATCTTGTTTGTGGAGCAGCTTGGTTTTGTGCTGTTCAAGCTGCAAATAATTTCTGAGGAACACAAAATTATTTGTGTTCATAGAATCATAAATCATTAAAGTTTCAAAAGACCTCTAAGATCATCAAGTCCAACTGTTAACCTAGCACTTTCATGTTTACCACATGTCCCCAGGTGCCACAACCACACACTTTTTGAACACTTCTGGGGATGGTGATTTTATTGCTTCCCTGGGCAGACTGTTCCAATGCCTGACCACCCTTTCAGGGAAGAAATTTTTCCTAACATCCAATCTAAACTTTCCCCGATGCAACTTGAGGCCATTTCCTCTTATCCTCTTGCTTGTTACTTGGCAGAAGAGACCATTCCCCACCTGGCTACAACCTCCTTTCACATAGCTGTAGAGAGTAAGCCTTCTCTTCTCCAGGCTAAACACCCCCAGATCCCTCAGCTGCTCCTTATAAGGCTCTAGCCCTTCACCAGTTCCGTTGCCCTTCTCTGAACACACTCCAGCACCTCAATGTCTTTCTTGTAGTGAGGGCCCAGAGCTGGACACAGGATTTCAGGTCTGGTCTCACCAGTGCCAAGTACAGAGGGATGATCACTGCCCTGGTCTTGCTGGCCACGCTATTTCTGATCCAGGCCAGGATGCCATTGGCCTTCTTGGGCACGCTGCTGGCTCATGTTCAACTGCTGTTGACCAGCACCCCCAGGGTCCTTTTCCACTGAGCTGCTTTCCAGCCACTCTGCCCCAACCCCTGCAAGGGGTTGTTGTGACCCAAGTGCAGGACCCAGCGCTGCCTTGTTGAACCTCATGGTGTTGGCCTTGACTCATCAATCCAGCCTGTCCAGATCCCTCTGCAGAGTTTTCCTACCCCACAGCAGATCAACGCTCTCACCCAAGTTGGTGAGTGCAAATTGACTGAATACTTGATCCCCTCATCCAGATCATCTGTAAAGATATTAAACAGGACTGGCCCCAATACTGAGCCCTGGGGAATGCCACTTGTCACTGGCCATCAGGTAAATTTAACTCCATTTGCCACTACTCTCCAATCTTTCACTATGATACTACAAATATAAAGGTTTGCTTCTTACTCATCTCCAAAAATACATTTTGAGTATAATTTTCTTTATAATAGCTCCATAAGTTCTTCCATAAAACGAGTATTTCACACAGGCTTCTGTCTTCCAGTAATGATGATGCACACTTTGAACTGAGATCTGATAGCTGTTCTGCCAGCCTTATGTCTGGCTTTCTCATCAAAATATCTAGACCACTTAAAAAGATTATGTCATGATTTGCTATTTGTATAGACAGACACTGTAGCACCCAGATAAAACTGCAAGCATGGTTGCATAACATTATTCTTAAAAATGAGCAAAGATGCTCTTTAATTAGCTTTAAAGCTGTTTGCTAAAAAGACCACATTTTTCAGTACAGTGGAACACAACTCAATTAGAGAATAGTTTGGTTTGTCAGTTTTCCTGGGGCATAGTAGGAAATCCTTTCTTGCACTGCATGTGCACATAAGCTCTGCCTTTGCTTAACAAAACAGATCTAACAAAATATGACAATTGAGTCTTGCTGCCGAAAAGGATTTTAAATGGGTTTATATCTGTACAGCCCCACTTACCATATGTTGTACTTAGATACCTTAGGCAATACAGAACCAATTTTTAGCTTTATATCACTGATAGCACATTTAAATCTTACATTTATACAAAGGGAGACTAAGTTCCCACTTTGAGGAGAGATAGTAATGTTGGTTCCCTGTTGCATTTTAATATACTTAAATGCTATTCCCTTTGAGCCCCTTTTAAACCTACTGTTGCCTCATTGCAGCAGGTTGTGGTCACACAAGGCAATTAATTCCCTTAATGAAGAATTAGCCACAGTGACATGTGGTTTCTAGTCTGAAGACAGAGTGCATTCTCTCTGACAGACTCTCGCTGCTAAGCATGTCATAAAGGAGGCCAAAAATGTTGAATTTTTCAAGTGAAGTCTGGCTCAACAG